CAGAGAGCCTGATGCGGGACTCGATCCTAGGGCCCTGAGATCATGACCTGAGCTGAAGGCAGAGGCTTAACCCACTGAGCCACCCAGGTGCCCCAAATATTTATTTTTGAACAAATGAAGATTGATTGATTGAATGAATAAAACCTGGAGGGGACTGAGTGATGAACGATGGATTCAGATGAAACACAGGACTTTCAGTGGCTAGAATTTTGCGTCAGCTCTCCTCCAGTGCCTTTCCTCCCTCCCTCAGGGACCTTTATTCCTTCCTTCTAAGTCACCTGCTTTTTCATGGTTTCTCACCCATAGGAGGCCCAGAGCCCCATTTATGGTCACAATTCACCGTGTCTCCTAAACTGACAAGCCACTGGTCACTGGCTATTAGATTTAGTCATCTTCATTCTTACCTTCCTGAAGGGTGCTTTGTGTAATCCTTTTCTCTTTTTTCTTTTTTTTAAGTGTGGTTACTGTTGCGCTCAAGTTCTCTGCTTGTTCTTTCTCCTGTAGCATCCACCCTCGAGACAAACAGACAGTGGCCTACAGGTTGCACTTGGGGGCCCGGGCTGTGGCTTATGGTGAGAAGTTGATCTTTCAAGGACCACTGCCTGAGAACATGGAACTCCTGGCTGACAAGGGGCTGCTCAACCTCACATATTCACAGGAAATCCAGGGGCAGAAGCAGGACAAGATATTTGAGGTGAGAAGAATGTTGAAACAGTAGGGGTTCGTCCTGTGTCGGGAGTCAGGGTTTTCTCCACACCGAGGCCCATCTCTAATTGTAACATTTCTGTGAGGTAGAGCTTGGCGTTTAGTAGGGTGGAGTTTATCTCAGAGGAGTGACTGAGTAGCTATTAATTCTTTCACTTAGTGGTAATTTGATAGGACAGTCCAGGAAAGGAATTCACATTAAATATTCCTTTTGTATTTCTGCTCCCAGAGCAGCCATCTTTGCTCTGGTAAGGGCCTGGGGCTTTCTGTGGAGGTTACCTATTGAAAGATTCCTTACTCCTGAGTATTTCCCTCATCCTTGGATGTCTTTTTATATCACACGATCCCAAATTCTAATATATTTTTGAATTTAGTGTTTCCTTTGAGAGGCTTAGCTTGGGGGTTTGTAAGTCAGTGTGAATTAATGTAATGAAACTACTTTCTTCTAGTATCTAGTGAGGGTCATTCCACTGTGGAACGAGGGCAAATAATTAAAGAGCCTGTGTAGGGGTCTTCCGTGGTTGGGGGTGCGGGTCGAGGCAATCCTCTTGGAACATGGAGATGAGTGTCTCTGGGAACCTGAGGCCATCAGGCTGGATGGGGCGGGGGGAGCAGTGTATGAAAAGAGGGCACTGGCAGGAATGAAAGAACACGAAAGACCGACTTGAATTATACACTAGCTTATCTAGGGCTGTCCTCCTCTGGCGTCCCAGCTGCAACACCCACTGGCCTCAGGTGCTTGGGCAGCACTTACCTCCCTGAGCTTCCCTGGACACTGGGGCTAAGGTAATTCTAGTTCTCCAGAAGTCTCCATGCTGAGTTCGGTTCTCCCCTGTAGAGAACCGAACTGTCAGCAGCTGGCAGTCTGCCTGTCATCCAGACCCAGAATCCTAGTTGGGAGCAGGACAGAATTTCACCTATGGGTACTGGATAATTTATGTCCCCTTCCTTGGATTGTTTCTGGTTGGAGAGAGGCTTATTATCCAAGGTCCCTTTGTGCCCCTTCCTCATTCCCTAGCTCCTTTGGGCGGGCCAGAGCGCTCGCAGCAGCTGGACCGCTCCACGGGCTCAGTTCCTCCCTGCTGTGCCATCGGGTCAGACGCGGATGTTGCTGGGAGCCTTCTCTAAACGCTCTATGTGATGATGCCTCCTTGCCTCCCTGTCACTGAACGGTTTATTGATAGATTGATTTGATCACATGAGCATTTCTCATCACACTATGGCTGTGTTGACCAAACCCAACCTGAACTCGGGTTTGTTCTGGTTCTTGTAGGAAAGGCATCCTTGGCTGAGCGTGGCTCCTTCTCTCCCTCCTAGTCTGTTTAATGAGGAGTTTCCAGTCTCTTGGAATGGCCTCACTGACCCAAGTATTGCGATGTTATCATTCCCTTGTTAGGTCTCATGTTGCCGTGACCGTCAGTGCAAGTGGCTCCCAGCTCCCATGGACGCTTTCTCAGCCCAGACACTGGCCCTGAATATCCGTTCTTGCCGTGGCGTTCTGGCTGCTGTTCGTTACGCCTGGACCACGTGGCCTTGTGAATATAAGCAGTGCCCCCTGTACCACCCCAGCAGCACCCTGCCAGCCCCTCCCTTCATTGCGTCTCTGACGGACCCAAGGCGGGGCAAGCACAGCGAGCTTGCTGAGTGACGTAGTGGCCTCATGACCCTCATCTTGGCCTTAAGTGTGGGTTCTTGAGATTTGGGCATTTAGGTGTTGAAGTGATGACAACTAATGCTTTTCAAGGCAACTAATAGCAAAGCCGCCTGGCCAGCTCCCAGCCAGCACATGGTTGTTTCTAGATTCTGAATAGGAGACAAGCCAGCGCTGGCAGGCAAACGAGATGCTTGCCTTTTGTCCCCTAGACAGCCTAGTGTCTTACTGGACTAATTCCCAGCTACAAACAAATGCAGCCTGTGTCATTCGCTTGCCTTGTGGAGATCGTGCGGTGTCACACTTTTGTCACCTTACGTACAGCTTTGGGTGGAAATACACGGCTGGAAGAGATTTCAAGGCTCATTATTTATGTGTTCTTTACAGGATCTGGCGAGTGGTTACTGAATCTCTGTACAAAGTTTCTAAACTTCCCAACAGTTTTTCCTTATGTAGAACTGAACTCTTTCTAGCCCTATTTGTGTTCTCGAAGCCAAAAACAGTTCTGTTCCTTCAGTCTAAATAATGATAATGTGACTGTCTGAAACCAACCAGCCCCGTGTGCAGGCATGTGGGATGGCGCGGAGGGGCTGCCTGAGGGAGGAGGAGATGGGGGCGTTGGTAGCGGCCCAGGAACGTATGTGGGCAGCCAGGGACGGGTGGGGGAGTCACAGGCTCAGGACATGACAACAGAGGTTCCTGAGAAGCAAGCAGGTTCAGTATAATCTCAGGCTTTTTAAGGTAAGAGGTTTACCTATAAAAAGGATAACCCAGATGGAAGAAAAAAGAGGCTGAAAATAAAGCTCCATGATAAGCATATAGAAAAATAATCCAGATGGGACAAATGTGAAAGCGCGCTCTGTATGGACTGTTAAGAATCGTAATGCTATTTATTGGTTGATTAAAAACAGCTAACAGCAACTTGATAACTGTGTCATCTATTGGAATCTGGAAATAAAAATATAATCATTAGTGGCAATTTATAGCCCATCAAAACCAGGTTAGGAACAGGTTTGTAAATTGTCCTCTGAAGCATGAGTAGCTTCCTCTCTCTTAATGGGAAAAAGAACTAAAGCACGAAGCACCTGACCCCAGGGGGCCCCGGTGTAGCTCCGAGCATCCCCAAGTCAGTGCCAGAATTTATTTTGTAAAAAACCAATACAGCTACACAGTCTGCAAGGAACTTTGGCTCCTCAGAGGGCTTCTTGGTGTGCAGTTAACTCCCAACACCCATGCCTTGACCTCGTATGCATCTGACCTAAGGGGAACTACAAACCTAGGAACAGACTCCTGAGAAAAAGTAAATCTGCCCTCCCCTCTGCCAACACACATGCACACGGGCTTTTCTAATTTGCAGGTAGCTCGACATGGCCAGGACCCATATGCCCAGGCTCCTTCCTTCCCCAGTCACCAAGTGCAACACAGGGAAGAAATCAGCTTCAAGTAGTAGATAAATTAATGAGAAATCATGTGAAACTTCATTTTTAATGGCTGAATCATTTAAAACATTCTGTGGGAATTCAGTTTATTTTTCAAATGAAAATAACTTTTTAGTATTTGAAAAATGAAGTTTATAATTACTGCAGATTTGGACTCTAACAAAAAAGAATAAACAAGTAAGAATCACCCCCAAAATTCATCATTTGGCAAAAAACATTTAATATTTTGGTAAACATTCACTTGATTTTCTTCGGTTATATTTTACACACTATGCATCATATTATAATGTTTTTGACTTACTCTAGTAAAATATTTTTCCTATGTAAACTGAGTATAACTTAAGTGTTTCAGTTTGTGGGAGCCCCCTACTTCAACCAATTTTCCATCAGTGGACATAGAGATTTCTTCCAATCTTTCCCTGTTGTAACAAATACTGTGAGAATGTTATGTGCAGACATCATAGTGCACTTACCTCCTTGGGACTCTTAATGTGGAGTAACAGTTTTAAGGAAAGTATGTTTAAAATTTTGATACTTACAGCTTAATTCTCCTGAAGGGGCAAACAGTTTACAGCCCAAGGTATAGTGCCATTTAGCCTCACTCCCATTGACACTGGATATTGTCAAATTTAAACCTACTGGGGGGGGGGATCAAGTTTTTAAAAATGATCCGCAGTAAAAACATTTTACATTTATTCCATGTACCCCTTTTGTGTGTATTGATGTGATTTTTATATAAATATACATATACACACTATAGTCGAAACCCAAATTTCAACATTTTGACATGTGATGTCTTCTACTTAGTTCTAATTGTTTTATTTAATTTAAAAAACAGAGGTCTTGGCTCCCTAAGTTTAGGAGCAAACAATGGGTTGAGATCTGTATTTAGAACCACTCCTCTAGGAAAGATACAAAGTAAATACTCAGATTAAAGCAAATAGCATGGTAACTTATTTAAAAAAAAAAAAAAAAGTCTTTCTTAAAGTGAGGGTCGCTTTTGAGGGGGTGCCCGCGTGGCTCAGTGGGTTAAGCCTCTGCCTTTGGCTCAGCTCCTGGGTCCTGGGATGGAGCCCCGCATTGGGCTCTCTGCTCAGCAGGGAGTCTGCTTCCCCAGCACCGCCGCCTGCCTCTCTGCCTACTTGTGGTCTCTGTCAAATAAATAAATAAAATCTTAAAAAAAAAAAAAGAAAAAAAAGCGAGGCTCGCTTTTATGTTTTACTCCAACAGCACTACAAGGAGAAGGTATTTGCTCTATGTAAAAGCAGCAGCTGTCATTTCTGTGGAAGTGTACATGTCCAGCCAACTCAGGCAGCGACAGAAGGAAAACATGAAAGCATTAACAGCTTTGAGTCTCCCCTTTATACCTCTGGTTTGTTGTTACCCAAATTTTATCTTTTTACACTGTAAAAACTATACAAACTTATAAAAGGACTATAGGGAAGAGTCATAGAGTTAACAGAGGTTACTCTAGTTTCTGAGTTCCGTGGCCAGTGTGCTTTGCTCTCAAAGCGGCTGTCCGACCCATCTACTCCTGGGAAACAGGATCCCCCTTCTTCTTGTCCCCAGTCAGCAGCTAGGAACTGCAGCACAGTGACGCCTGTCACCACTCCTTCCCCGTTCTGCCCCTTCTGGGGTCCTTCCATGACTTCCTTCCAGCCGGCTCGGGGAACCTGGTGGGGCGCATGGTTCCACTGTGGTCCAGGTCGGGTGAGGAGGGTTTGAAACCTCCCCCTCAGCCCCGTAAGCAAGGCTGACATGTTCGGATGTGTGGAATACAGTCATGTCATTAGCCGGCTAGCGAAGTGACAGGGTCAGCCTGTCGTGCAGATGGATGGGGGCTGCCCCCCGACACGATGTATCTGTGTGATCATGTGGACTCTGCGTTCAGCGACAAGCACATTCTCGGATAAAGAACAGCAAAGTGGGAAGACAGGATTACTGAGGACCTTTTGATTCCCTTGAAGGATGTGGCGTGTGAAGAAAAAGATGAACGGCGGGCCTCCGCCTGGCCTCTCCAGCTTGGGGACAAGCAGCACTGGGCTGTGAGCATACTGACATGAAAATAAGGCAGCTGCTTGGGTAGCAGGGGCCGGGACATCGTTCCTGGAGCTAGGATCAGAATCCAGGCGGAAGGCTGTCAGACTCCTACCTCTCCCTCCTGAGTCAGCAGCCTTCTCTCACACGGGCTCACAGAACACTTTTACTCTACCTCAGGCAGAGCTAAGTGGAAAAAAAAAAAAAATCCTGATTACAACAAGATGAAAATAAGCAGATCTGTAAAGAGAAATTTATTGCTAAAAATAAAGCAGCTGAAGTTTTTCCCAGGGAACACTGTCACCACAGGAGCCTCCATGACAAAATGTGCTATCTCGTCACTCCTGAAATGCAGTCTTCTTCCATATTCGGAATTTTACTTTAGTTAAATGACATGGTATGCGATCCCCTCCCGCTCAGTCTGAGGACGGAGTTGGGCTACACTGTGACAGAGGCTTCAGGCGCTGCAGAAGAGTGTCCACCAGGGGTTCGTGCGTCAGGAACACGGGTTGGTAAGAAGACACGAAGGGTGTGGGCTGAAGCTCTGGAAGGTCCAAGGATCCTGGAGAAGAAAATCCCTTCAGTTCCCTGCTGCCTGGGAATCTCAAGGGATTGCTCAGACACATGGATGTCCTTTCAATTCCCAACACCCTTACACCTGTCAGCCAAATCTTGCCCTTGTTTGGGAAGACACGACAGAAACTTGACTTTCACAATGAAGGAAACTGTGGCCAAAATAGATTCAGTGATTTGCCTCAGGTTATACAGTAAATTACAGAGAGAAAGAGAGAGAATTTGAATTCTATTATTTCTAGCACAGAGCTCTCCCTATAGGACCCGGTGCCAGATCCCTCATTGTTCCACCCATCAGCGGGGGGAGGTGGGGGGAATCCACCAAACAGGTGGGACCAAGGCCATGACCTGGTTTCCTCCACTTCCTTTGAAATTTTACTCTCTAAATTTTACTAAAATTTTACTCTCTAAAATTTACTAAAATTTTACTAAATTTTACTCTCCCCTGGAGCTCTGCTTGGGTCTTACTCAGGTTAGGAAAAAAGCCTAATTTCTCTGCGGGCCCTGCCTCATCCTGATGGCGGCCACTCCGTGTGACTGCTGCCAGCACTGCCGGGGAGCCCGGCAGGCCAGCCCGTCCTCACGCCGGGACTCTGTGGTCGGGGCGGTGAAGTTTCTATCCCTTAATGCCCAGCAATTTGCAGTACTCGACTCTGAATGAAGCGTAGAGGTCAGCCTAGAAATAGTCCATTTTCAAACCAGAAAGGTAAAATTAAGATACCTGGCAGGATGGGATCACTGTGATCTTCACCAAAGGCCTGTCTCTGAAAGGCTTCGAAGCTTATAGCTGCATCAGTGTCTGGCAGTCCTTGCGGTGGCTGCCCGTCTCCAGGTTTCCACACCTCAAATTTCACCCACTGGTAACTGCAGGATCCAAGGGCATTGTCATAAGGGATGTCTGTGAGCCGTACAGCCCATTCTTACTTCCAGAGATTGCTCCCCATATGTATCTAAAAATCATATTAACAAAGTAACTAAGAGAAGATCGGTGTCTGCAGGGACACGTTCTCCTGCAGGACTTCCCAGTGCCTTTGCTGTCATGGTACTCAGAGAAAATGGTAACTCTGGTTCCGTGGGGTGCTGGCTCCCGCTCACCTGAGGCTGAGCGCCACCACTGAGGTACACTGGCTGAGGAGCAAGTGCGCTCTGCACAAAGAAGTGGCTCAGTGAGCGTCAGAACTAGCAAAGCAGTAACTGCCGCTCACGGTGCTTCTCTCAAGAGAATGGATTTGACCACACTTACTTGACGCATTTTCGAGCTCCTGGACAGCTCTGGATCAGGTTGTGAATAGTCGGATGAGAAAACCCAAAAAAGTCAGCTCCAGAAGGAAGCAGGTTGGGCATTAGTTTCCCCCTAAATAGGAGAGGAACGATTTGTAGTTTACGAGGGGAGAGGGAGATGAGAGTGGGTTTAGGACTGGGGTATGAATGTAGAGAACACACTTTCTTGACGTGGATACTCTGTGGTAAGAAACAGAAAGGATGCAGGAATCTGCAGAGAGCTATCTACAGATATGGGGTCTCCAGACATTAAACAAAAGGGAAGTCTTACTGTACCACAAGTGATCTCTTTAGGCTGTCTCCAAGCTTTAACTTACAGAGCAGCACTTATGGCCTTGAGCAGTCCTGCATGACAGGCATCTGCAGAAGAGGTGACGATGGCGTTCTGGGGGTCATCTTCAGGAACGATTTCAAACTGAGAAAGACCAAAGGGCAATGAGCTCAACCTTGGAGAAGCAAGTGGTAGAAAGTCATGCTCCTCCTCTAACTACCTCTTCACTCTAGGTCTTGAAGCTGATGCCCATGACATTAGCAGGTGGGCACAGTTTCCTAGAGCGCAATTCAAAATCCAAACGAGTCCAAGAAAACACAAAGTCCTCTGGCTGTTTCAGTTCTATACACCTGCCTGACTGTTCTCCAGCAGTCAACACTTCAATTTGTTACGTCCTTTTCCTATCCACTTACTTACATCTATTAAGTACAAATACAAATGGTATTTTTAAAAAATTTTTTGAAGATTTATTTACTTATTTGACATAGAAAGAGCACCACTTTCTCCCTGCTGAGGGGAGCCTGACATGGGGCTACATTTCATGACCCTGAGATCATGACCTGAGCCGAAATCAAGAGTCAGATGCTCAACCAACTGAGCCACCCAGGCACCCCACAAATGGTGTTTTAGAAATTATGAAATAAAATAAGATCATGTAATCTTAGCTTTACTTTGTAGTATCTAGGAGGAACATAGCCATTTTTACTGCAAGGCTCATTTATTTTTTGAACTGCAAAATATCTTGACTATGAAAAAACCCTCTAATACTAAAATTATACTAATACTGAGGAATTTTTGCCAAGAGATTATTTTTGTAACAAATACTATCTAGCCAACTTAATTCTTTGACCAATTTTCTGTAAGTTCAGTGAATTTTTGTTAAGGAAAAAATTTTTTTTAAAGATTTATTTATTTATTTATTTGACAGACAGAGATCAGAGGCAGGCAGAGAGAGAGAGGGGGAAGCAGGCTCCCTGCTGAGCAGAGAGCCCGATGCGGGACTCGATCCCAGGACCCCGAGATTATGACCTGAGCTGAAGGCAGCGGCTTAACCCACTGAGCCACCCAGACGACCGAAGGAAAGTATTTCTGTAGTAAGTTCTGTTTTGCCAACTAAACTCCTTGACCAGTGTTCTACAAAGTAAACAGTATCCATTTGTTTCAAAGACACACAGATGGCTAACAGACACATGAAAAGAGTTCAACATCACTCATCATCAGGGAAATGCAATCAAAATTACAATGAGATACCACATGACACTGGTCAGAATGGCTACAATTAACAACACAGGAAATAATAGCTGTTGGGCCAAGATATGGAGAAAGGGAAACCCTCGTTCACTGTTGGTGGGAATGCAAATTGGTATAGCCACTCTGGAAAACAGTATGGAGTTTCCTCCAAATGTTAAAAATAGAACTACTCTGTGATCTAGCAACTGCACTATTAGGTATTTACCCAAAGGATACAAACAGTGATTTGAAGGGAAACACGCACCACTGTCAACAGCTAAATAACGGAAACAGCCCAAGTGTCCATCAACTGATGAATGGATAAAGAAGAGGTGGCATGCACACACACACACACACACACACACACACACACACACACACACACACTGGAATGTTACTCGGCCATCAAAAGAGAATGAAATCTTGCCATTTCCAACAACATGGATAGAGCTAGAATGTATTATACTAAGAGAAGTAAGTAGAAAAAAAGACAGATACCATATGATTTCACTCCTATGTGGAATTTAAGAAACAGAACAGATGAGCATGGGGGAAAAAAGGCGAGAGACAGGCAAACCATAAAACAGACTCTTAACTAGAGAGAACAAACTGAGGTTTACTGGAGGAGTGGTGGGGAGGTGGTGCTGAGTGGGGGACAGGGATTAAGGAGGGCACTTGTGATGAGCGCTGGGTGCCGTAAGTGATGAGTCACTAAATTTACTCCTAAAGCTAATATTAATTACACTGTATGTTAACTAGAATTTAAACAAAAACTTAATAAAAACAAAAACAAAACAGTATCCAGCTTTTTAATGTTTAATCAAATCATTCCATAAGATTAATTTATTTTCTGTGTATTTTCAATCATGTGATTAATCATTTCTTAGAATCCAAAACCTACTTTACCTACTTTCTGCAGCTGTTTTCTTCTGCAGTTTTTACTTCAATTTTACTGTGTCAAATTCAGAGCTCTTTCAATTTTCTCAATAATTTGTCTTGTGAGTTTTAGTCAGTGGTTTTGTTACTTCAGCCAGTGACATATGTTGCCAACTGAAGATACTGATGGTTTGTATTTATTTCTTAGCCTTGCATGAAAAAACTGCAAGCAATTATTTTCAAATACTCCAGGAAGACGCTTTTATTTGGTATTGGCCATGTCAATTCCAACCTTTTATATTGTGCGTACACTATTCTGTTTTGCACAAAGAGCAAATAAAAGGCCCAAATCTCTTATTTTGGTCTTGGAGAGCGTTCCCTGTTTGCATGCATAACTCTACTTCATTCTTTTAACTGCTACATAATATTACACAAGGTGGATAATTGTTAATTTTTAACCATTCTCCTACTGATGTTCATTTCGGCTATTTCTAATTTCTTGCCATTGCATACAATGCCATGCTGTATATTGTTATACGTAACTCTTTTATTCACATTTGCACATTTTTCTAGGAGATGCTCTAATACCTAGCAGTATTCTGGGTCAAAGGACACACGTATTAAACTTGTTAATATTGCCAAGTTGCCTTCCAAAAGACTGAAAACAGTTTCACACATACTAATGCATACTTGTTTTTCCACACCCTGGCCAACACTAAGTTTTATCACTCTCTCTGCTGTTCACCTATGAGCAAAGTAAGACCTTTTTATTTGCATTTCCCTCATTGCTAATGAGGTCCTTTCTTACCAACCGTCTGCACTGTTTCTATGCAATACCAGTTGTATCTGCTTGTTTTTTATATTTGACCACAGGAGCACTATATCTGGATATTAATTCCCTGTTATATATTTTCCTCCTGTTTTTTCCTTGAGTTTTAACTTGGATTATTAGGCCTTTTGTCGTTCATTAAATTTTTAATGGTCAAATCTGTTACTATTTTCCTTCATGGCTCCTACTACAGTTCATGCTTTGCTAAAGAAAAGCTTTTACCTCAAAGATTATAAAAATATTCTTCTATATTTTCTGTTAACATATAGTATAAAACATTCTATAAAGTTACAGTAATTAAAAGTCCTAGTAGCATTTATAAACAAAGAGATGAAGAAAAATCATGTGGAAGCATACTCAAGTATTCTATGCATTATATGCACACTAGAGATACCACTTCATGTTAGTTGGAGAAAAAAAAAAAGAATTGAAACTCATGATGTACCTGAAAATTATGTCAAGAGGGGTTAACAAGTTTAAAAAAAAAAAAAAAAAAAAAGGAAACTAAAACCCCACAAACCTTTCTTCTCAGAAATAGTCCAGCAGTTTGTCTTTCAGGAAATTAAGAATCAGCTTGTCAATATCCATTATAAGGCTATTAACTTTTGATTACACTTGCACTGAATTTATAAATCTGTTATAAAGAGGGTATATTGCTACAATATGACTCTTTCGGTTGGAGTACTTTCTACACAGAACTCCTGCGATGGCCAGGTCATCTGAACACTCACGTGCATCTAACAGTGCTCTAACCAGGACTGGGTCAGGGTGCTATTACCACATGCATCAGGCAGGCTCTCAGCTTCTGCTCAAAGGTTCTTTCCTTGCCTCTACCTCCTTCCACCTAACTTTCTAGTGATCTGTAACATAATCAGACAGTGAAGCATGGAACTCTGAAAATGGTCTGTTTTTCCCAATGATCAGAGGTGATGGCTGGGGAAAATGAACTGCCTTCAATCACAGCAGTGGGAAGGATTTCATAAGCCTAAGGTTCACGTCTCCCAAGCCCTTAAGAGTGTGTGCAATCAGAAACTAATATGCAGTCTCTTTGCTTCCTCTGTTTCAGTCCTTCTTGAAATAGTGGAGTATCCAAGTCCTCATCCTGGTATATAGGCCTGCACCTCGCACATAAGCAGACTCGCTCAGACTCATGGTCACCATAGCAACAGTGCAAGCGGCAGGGTTCAAAGGAAAGGGCGTCAGGAGTAAGACAGACAGATTCAAATCCCAACTTAAGCACTTATTAACAAAGGTCTGACTTAGGGCCAATCGCTCTTCTGCATCTTGGAGTTACCCAGATGGTTATTATACAGTATGTATTCTAAGTGCTGAATCAGGTAATAACTATTTGAGTGGCTGCCACACAGAAGGTTCTCAAAGACAGACAGGAAGAAAGAAAGAAAGAAAGAAAGAAATGAAAAGGGTGGTTATTCGCAGAGCAGGTACCTGAGGCTGCAAGCCGCCATCCTTGATCTGGCAGGTGTATAGACACTTCTGATCTGGGCATTTGACGCTGGCATATGTCCGCGTACTGCAGTAGCCCACGGGATAGATGGCACTCTCGTCATGGAAGCCAGGTCGGTCGGTGATGATCTATAAGAAAGATGCCCCCAATCAGCACATGAGGTAGCTGGAGAGAATTGAGGAATCCAGTGGACTGTGGTAGCCTTTAAGACCACTTTGGGGCTGCAAAGAGTGACTCGAATCACAGAGAGTGTGTTGGTTGGGCAGCAGACAAAACTGACCTTGTTTCCTAGGGACTGGAATTTCTCTGGGATTGGTCTGGATCAGCAAAGGGCTGCAGCTAATGGGAACAGGGAGGGAAGGCTCAACCCCATTCCCGTATTTCTGATTCTCCTCTCTATGTATCGCTGGTCTCACTCACCTCCCCCAGGCTATATACTGTTAGACCCCCCAGTCCGATGGGGAACACAGGCCGTCCTGAGGGATCCAGGGCAATGGGCTGAACCAGCTTGCGAGCACCTCCCTCCATTTTCTTTTTCTTGGATGTTTTCTTCAGAACTGAAACGCAAATCTGGGGTCACCCACTTTAGGCCCCTCCCAATGCGGAGGGGAAGGGAAAAATTTACATGTGAATGCTAAGAGCAATAAGCCAATCCTCCTTCTCTGTACTCACTGAATGAGCACACAGGACTTTCCCTCAAAGCCCAGAGTATCTTTCTAACCCACCCACCTGGCAGTCGCTAATTTTAATATTAGTGCTGAGGACCTAAAAGGCTTGCACTTTTTAAGGCCTCTTACCTTCATTTATCAGATCAGAAATCTCCCAAGTCATTCGCAGGCTCAAAAGGCCACCTAGCCCATTTCCCTGCCTCTGGGAAAGATAAACTGAAGGCACCCCAGGGAATCAGGGGTGTGTGTGTGGGTGTGGGTGTGTGTGTGTGTGTTTGTGTGTGTGTCCAGAGCCTGCTCCCTTCATTTATGCAGGTCTGTCCAGAATTCTTCCACCCAAAGTGGCTCTAATACACTTGCCTTCCAAGGCTATTAGGGCCGGTTAAGGGTCAAAGGAGGGTTTCAGGACATCCGTGGTCATTTGTGTCTATCAGTTAGTTCCAGGTCTTTGCCATTAGTCACTGGGCCACTGGGGCAAGTGATACCCTCTCCCCAAGGTACCTTCCAGTTTGTTGTTCTCTTTGCCTTTTTCTTTTTTCTCCTTCTTGGATTTCTTCCCAAATGGCTCCTCAGCCCCAGTGCTGGGCCCAGAAATGGACCCGGCTCCCTGTACAGTTCCCACAGAGCTGGCCAGACTGTAAGTCAGGGGCAAACTGGTGCCGTGGGAAGGAGCTGCAGCCTGTACCTCCCCTTCAGTTAGAGCCTGAAGCTGAAGGAGCTTCTTTAGCAAATACCTGAGGTGGGGAAGGAAAGGGAGCAGAGGTATGAACTTCTGGTTTATCTCAGTTCAGTATTTCATTCACTCAAGCATTGGAAAAGCCAAAGTTATATACAAAGATTATTACACTTATAAAAACAAGGTTCCTCTTGGGCCCAGGGAATAATGAAGCTCCAGAGGACAGTATGTTAAGGAGCCAAAGAAAAGGACTGTAGCTTATCTCTCTTGCATCTACACAAGGGTTCCTCTCCTTTGATGTTGACGGTGTTATGGTACCAAAGGGCGCACACCACGACCTGCTTATGTATATGTTTTATACGTACCCACTGTGCTTTGCAGAGAGCAGTACATACTGAGTGTTTGCGGAATGAGAGGCAGTTTCTCTTATTCCTTCTCCTTTATAATTGGGGAGTTATAAGAAGATAGCTCCTTAGATGTGGCAAGAGGGCTGTGTGAGAAAGGTGAATAGAGGAGCTGTCTCATCCCCAGGGTCCAACAAGACTTGGGTAAATGGGAACCAGTACTAGAGACTGTTTCTCTGTACTTGATCAGTAGCCAATGGGTTGTATAATGCACAAAAATTCCACTGGAGAAAAATTCCCAGAAGAGAAACACCATATCAATCACTGAAAACATGATTGTGAACACAAAATGAAGGCAGCTCACCGTCTTTCTTCTTTCGCTTTAAGAAATTTTTCCTCCAGACGAGCAATTTCATCACAAATAGCAGCATTTTCCTTTAAGAAAAATTTTTGGATATAATCACATAAAAAGAATAAAAGATCAAAGTATTACGCTGGGAAGAGGAGCTGTGTTTCTTTTCTTCTTTTTTGAAAGAGAGCTCACATGCAGGAACGAGATGGGAAGGAAGGTGAGGGGAAAGGGCTGAGGGAGTGGAAAGAGAGAGAATCTGAAGCCGGCTCCATGCCCAGCAAGAAGCCCAACACAGGGTAAAATCAAGAGTCAGGTGCTTAACAGACTGAGTCACCTAGGCACCCCAAGAGGAGCTATATTTCAAACCAAAAAAGTCTGTGTTGCTGGGTGAGAAGGATGAGCTACTCTACCCTGCAAACTATTAAAAAAACCTACAGGTAAAGGTAGAGTAAGTTCCACTATGGGTAATTACAAAACTTATTGATCTGGGGCATATCTGAGTGAAAAGCGGGTGCTATTAATTATGATGCCAGTACAGTATGGTAGGCCATGGTCTCCTAGGCAAACCAAGATGTAGGATCACCCTGATTGGGGTAGCCTGTGGCAGAGAAAAGGGCATACTGCTTAAATTTAATCCTTACAAGTATGAGAAGTACCTGTTCCTGAGTGCCTTGACTTATAAAACCAACCTAACTCAAAGCATCCCATGTAGTATGAACCTTAAAGAGAAAAACTGGACAGAATAAAATCACCTGTAGTATGCAAAATTCTTAAACTTCATAAGCTACTTATGTGTACTCAAGTATCATCTTCCTGACTTGATCTGTTTCCCAAGCATCAGTTGTAAAGAAAATGCTCCCATCTGGATGCTCCACAAGTGAGACCTCAGACTCTTCACAAAGCCTACTTCATGTCCTTGGTGGACCCAACATCCTAGGAACAGAGACTTTAGGTACCTCTGACATGGAGGGGATAAAAGAAGGGGAATGGCCAATGAAGTATCAAGTCCCCTTAATTCTATTTTCTTCATTTCTCTCCAGAGCACAAAGCAAGTGCTTTTGGAAAGAATGTTCTCATTTCCAAACCTTCCCTTATCCTTCCAAAAATGCTGAGAGATGTTCAAGGCTTTTGGCAGAAAGAAGAGGTAAGGTGGTGACTCAGACATGGAAGCCCATTGGAGGACTCCATTCCCTATTGCCCAGCACTGAGGCGAGCTCCAGCAAGCCAGAGTACCCCACCACAAGTTGTGGCAGGCACGCTAGTTCTCTTATTCAACACACTCAGTGCCCCGACAGTAAAAGAACAGCAGAAATACTTGGGAGACTCAAGGAATAAGAAGGGGTAAACTGTTGAAAGCTTCACAAACCTGTTGAGGGAAGAGGTCAGTTATGCTGGGGTGCTGGGGCCTAGGCTGTGTAGTGGAAGTAGTAAAGAAACGAGGACCAGGGTGTGTAAGCTGGATTCTGACACAGTGCCCTTGAGCAAGTCATCTCTCTGGGTTTCAGTGCGGCCATTTCTAAAAACAATGCCTCACTCTAGGGTTCTCCTGAGAATCAAACGCCTTTCCAAGAGTTTTGCGGTAAGAACTACAATGACTGAGACTTATGGGCACTTTACTTTCCTCACTTAATCTTCACAACTCTGAAAAGCAGTTGGCTCTCACGGGTCAGGAAAGAGAAGAGTACAGAAATTACCTAATTTGTTCAAGGACACAAGGCCACTGGCAAGTAACGTGTACTGCAAAAGCTAATGCTACTGTTCCTGCCACTCGGGAGGGGAACGGCGTAGGGGAAGGATGTCGCGAATCAGGAGTGTCGAAGCGGAGAGGGGCCGAGTGACGGTCAGACTCACAAACACGGTGGCTTTGGCCGCTTTGCGCAGCCGCAGGTACTTGAGCCGGTACTTCTCGTTCTGGCTCTTCTTCGGGAGCTTTTTCATCCTGGCCTTGCCGGACTGCAGCGGGGTACGAGGCGAGGAGGCCGGGCCGCCCAGCAGGCTCATGGTCCGGCCCCGCTACGGGGCCTTTGGGGCGCAGCCGGCATCGGCTCCCAAGCGGAGAGGCGCCGGTTTCGTCTTGTATGGGCTGCCGGGATCCGGCCTCTTAGGAATCTATCCTTCCAGAACGTTCGCAAGGCGGACGGCGGCGCCAGAAGTCCGGCAACCGACCTCGGCCCGGGACCTCCCCGCACTTCCGCGTCTGTCTCGGAAGTGAGCCCTGGCCGGAAGTTACGTAATAGCGCCGGCCGCGTGTAACTTCCGGGCCCGTGAGGCTGCGGTGGTCGCCGCTCTGCTGGTCCGCGGGCCGCGGGAAAGGGGGGCGGGTGAGAGGGCGCTGTGACTGCACGCTGTGCGCTTAGCTGAGGAGTCTTTGGAGCTAACGCCTAACCCCCTCCCGCTCAGTCTTCCCGGCGCGAACGTCACCCGTGCTCCCTCCAGCCCGCTGCGTTTCAGCGCCGGTTTTCCACACTTCCTAACACAGTCTTCCCGTTGTGGGAAGCACCTGAACCCAAGAGCTGGGACTGCGGCGTTCTTGTATGAAGCTCGCAGAAAGGTCTCTTGAGAGCCTTTTAGGGCAGTGATTTGACGAGGATCTGAGACACTAGTGAACAGAAAACCAGGCCGGTGCCTCCTCAGGTTGGAATCTAATCGGGAAAACAAGGTCCAACACGCAGTTTTGATAACATGCTAGGGCCAAGGCACTTGGTAAACGTTTCCTTGACGACACTAAAAGTATGTGTCTGGACTTGTACCTATGTTTATTTAGCGCTAACTTTGTAACCAAGGAGTCTCCGAAGTCATCAAATAAAGAGGGTAGACAATTGTTTAGGAAGCAGTATTGGTGACGGCTCCGGTAGGAAGATGAAAGGCTTGTGTTGCTGCTTATTCCAGCAATGCCGCTAACCGGCGGAGTGAGCCCCTGCGTCACAGGTCTTCCGTTTAAGAACGGAATCTCCTGTTTGGTATAATGGAAACTAATGGGGGTTCTGAGCTGGAAGATACTCCTAGTGATGTAAACTATAATTACAGTTACATGTTCCAAATGTAGACTTCTAGAGTTGTATATGGAAATTAAGGAAAGTGCAATTAGACAAGTTCAGTAAATTGCAGCAGGAAAATGTAACGCTAACGGGTCTAAGTAACTTAGAGAGTTCAAGAAGAGAGGTTTAGAATTGATGACCCAGGTATGTAATTTCTGATAACTAAAAAATAGTGACAGGGCCTGACAAAATAGTTTTAAAGTTCTTTTATGTCCCTCCATGTTGAAAGCTGCCCTTTGTTGGACTTGTCTGGGTTTTAATAGAGCAACTCTTCAGGGAGCCAATGTGCTTTCACAAAGGCAGCCGTAACAGAATCATTTTGGAAACTGCCAGGAATATTTTCAGCCTACAAAATATCCTCAATCCTACCTTTGCTAATATAGATTGGTTCTTGGAACATGAGAAAAGATAACAGTGATAGGAAGAGATTGTCTTTTTTTTTTTTTTTTTTAATCTGTTTGCCAACTGCATGATTTACTTGCTGTCCAGCTGTATTTTGTCCTTGCAGGCTTTTTGATCTGACTTTATTTTCACTATTCCTCTTCATATACCAGTATCATAACTAGTGGGAGGAAAGTGTGATCATTGCTTTAGTTTTCAAGCTGCTCTGGCTATGGATTTCAGTGGAATTTGCATTAAAATATTATTTTTCATCACTAAAAAACATTTCCTTACAACTCATAAAACACTGTGCAAATTTTAGATATTTAGAACATATAGTACAAAGAAGATTTTTAAAAATCCACAATGTTAAAAAAAAATCCACAATGTTGCCACATAGGCATAAAGATCTTCATTCTTCATTCTTTTATTTCACTTGAATAAAGTGAATAACAGCACATAGGGTGAGCCACTTTTAACATGTGTGTTTAATACTTTCATGCATTTTGATGTAAGTTGGATAATACAATGTTTTCTTCTTGTTCACTTACCATTATTATAGTTATTTTGTGGTGTTATTATGACTGCTTTATAAGCATAATTTCAAACTGATACTTAATATTCTAGTTATGGCATAAGAATTTTACATGTTTACTTCCATGTTATTTGGATTTTTGGTCATCAGTTGCTGTGAAGCGCACCTTTGTGCACAAAGCTTTTTTATTTTTATTTTTTTTTAAGATTTTATTTATTTATTTGACAGAGATCACAAGTAGGCAGAGAGGCAGGCAGAGAGAGAGGGGGAAGGAGTATGTGGGGCTGGATCCCAGGACCCTGGGATTATGACCTGAGTGGAAGGCAGAGGCTTTAACCCACTGAGCTACCCAGGCGCCCCACAAAGCTTTTTTTAGACAAGATTATTTAGGGGCTGGGTCTGTGCGCTCCAAACAATGTAACATTGTCAAGCAACATTCAGTCACTTATTTATTCAGAAGAGTATTTATTGAGTGCCCGCTATGACACAACTTTTAGGAAACTTGTTTAAGAGGAAAAGACAGGCCAATAAATGGGCAGTGTTAATACAGTCTACTAACTTTTATCTCAGAGGTAGATATTGAATGATATGGTAGCATATAGTTAGGGAAGAGGGGAGGAGATTGGAAACCATCCTGAAGAAAATATGGCTGGACAGACTCTGAAGGAGAGCTGATGGCTGGCCAGTGAAGAACAGAGGAGGGCATCTTGGGCAGTGGAGAAAGCACATTCAAAGGCTCAGCATCATTAGAAGCAAGGGAACAATGTAATTTTTCTGCTTACCTATATGAAGAGGGGTCTAAATGGCTTATACAAAAATTCTCTGAAGAAATATGCAACTCTAAAAAGAAATATCCAATGAGAGACAACCTGGTATTGTAGCCTGAGCAGGGCCTCTGAACTCAGACCAAGTTTCCATTAAGTCCAGACATAGGAATGGAAGCTAGAAGCTAAGACAGGGTAATGAGTCAGAGAAGAGAGAGAAGGGGCTCAACAGCACTTTACTGTCATTCCCTTATAGTTCTAAAGTGGTTGTTATTCAGTGATTGGCTCTAAGTGGAGAAAGCATAGCATCCCCTGGGATATTAGAAACACATCTGGGCCCATTAGGAGTTGTGAGTCCACAGTCCATAATCCCAGCCCTTGGCGTCATGAGTCTCTGATTTAGATGATGAAAACCACCGTAGCTCCACCCACAGCTGAGGCATGGCCCTAACCTTGTTCTATGCTGGCCTAACTCCCAAGAGCAGATAAGTTCCTGCATCAGTATCTTCTGGCCAACTCTGCGGGCCACACAGGGTCTGGGCAAGTCAATGACTTCCACAAAGCAAGCTGGCAAGTTCCTAGGATTTCAGGCCACAGCACAGGGTTTCCAGGGATTTCATATTTTTATTCACTTTATTCACTTGGAAGATTGCCTCACATATTCTTTGGGTTAAGCTGAGTGTGCATCCTAGAAGGGTCATGGAGTAAATATACGGAGAAGAACCTGCCTCCATAAATAGCCTTTAGAATTTTCTTTCCTTGTAGAATATTTAGACTGCTGGTTTAGTTTTAGTTTTTTTTTTTTTTCTATCATAGGATGCTCTAGACCTAATTTCTTTTAGTTCTTTGACTCTTCAGCTCCAACTTTCAGATTTGTTTTCATGCGTTGATTTTATCTTCTCACCTTTAGGAAAACATAATACAGGATGTATGATTCAGCTGAAACCACACTTAGCATTTCTAAAGTGGTATTTTTGTACATTAGTGTGTGAGGCTTGTGAAGAAGGAGATAGAGTTTTACTTACCATAAAATTTTCTTGCTCCATGGGTTCTTAACTATGGGTTTTCATCACCGATTCTGTGGGTGAGATGTTTAGGTTTTGAGGGTTCTAAACCAGCCAATAATGTCATGAAATCGACCACTGTGTCAATGTTGTGCTTCTGGGTGGTCATGTCCTTCAAAACACATAAGACACTCAACCAGCTAAAAGAGATGAGCTCAGAGATGTTGGCTCGGAGGAAAAGAAGGATCACATTGAGGTCATTAATGGGGCATCCCAGCATCTTTCTGCTCAGGAGATCAAAAGCTGGGAGCATCTCATAGATGGAGAGGAGTCGTTTGTCCCACCGACACAGTCGTGTGAGGTTGTATATTATCACTGGAACCAACAGCGTGTATATTGTTAAACTGGAGAGACTAACAATTTGCAAGACCGACAGAGAGGTCAGCCTGCACGTGATCAGTTGGGGCATGTGGGTCTCATCACTTAGCAGCCCTGTCTTGACGGAACAGCTGAATTCCTCTTGGAAGAAGACGTCCAGGTGGAAGTGGCCAAGGTACAGGTAGATGACTGAGGTGAAGAGGAGCAAGAGTGAGTTCCTCAGCAGGTAGGCAGCCACTAGGGAATGTGAGCGCTGCTTACATGCCAGGTACCGCTCTAGCAAGGGGAATTCGAAGTATCGTTCTTTCCGAGCCCTGGGCAGGGGAAGAAAGGAGGTAGGGTTAGGAGAGATCATTTGGAATGACATCCTGAGAGAGCCATGTGGGGAAGTAATGGAATCTGAGTACCCGACGTGGCGTTCTTGGCTCCCGTGATGATCTGCTTTCTCTGAGCATAACTCCTCCTCTCCCCAAAGGGTGTGTGAGTAGATTTTCATTCTCCAACCAGTGAGTGCAGTGTGGTCAATGCAGTGAGCGATCAGTGGATAACAAAGGGTCACACTCGACTTCCGCCCCACAGAGCACGCTAAACCTTCAAGCTAAAACAGGATCCTTAGGTAGCAATAGGCTTATTAAATTGGCACTGGCCTGGGAGTCTAGATAAACACATTCTAGTTCTTGGTCTGCATACTCTGTGGATGATTTCTAGGGCAATCTAGAAATTTTATTTTATTTTATAAATTTTATTTCATTTTATATTATAAATTTTATTTATCTTATTTTATAAAAACAAACATGCTAACAGGTGTCTGCAGAGAGCTGTGGTGTTCAGGCATGTGTAAGCCAGTCTTGGCTCCGAAGGAGCTTATGGTCCGGCTTGTGGGGAAGGGGCAGATACGATATGCAAACAGGAAATGAAAATATGCTTGATTTGCGGCTAAAATGATGGATATAAACCACGGTGTCAAAAAAGTTAGGAGAGAGGTAATGGCATGGCCCAAAGCGTTTAGAAAACTTTATGGAGAATACTGTCTTAGACATGGCCTTCAAGAGGTAGATCGAGTTCAGAGAGGTAGATGGAGAGGACATTTTTTCAGAA